CCAGGTTAAAAATGAGGGTTTTTTCTAAAATAGAAAAGAAACTCCTGCTTCAAGGCTCAAAGGGGTTAACGAGGGTTTCACTCCCTTATATCTCCGGTGTTTGGGAATTTGAAACAATGGCTGTATATCATCAACAAAGTTGTATTCAAAAGCATACAACCAGAAATTTTGCATTTTAAATTCATCATCCTCCCCCCAAATCATGGCTAGGCAGGAGAATGGATAACAATTTGGTATCATAATGAAAAAGCAATTTAAAATTAAAAATAAATACGAGTGATACGAATGGATTTATTCAAGACAAACATATTTATTGTATTAAGATAATCATTCAAATGTAAACAAGTTCTTTTATTCAAGCCGTACAATGATTAACAAGAAAAATTACGAATGAGAAATCAGTAAAATTTCTAGTAAACATGAGAAGACTAATCATCCTTAAAATTCAGGGCATTCTTCAATCACGTTTATTATTCGGCAAATAATTGGCTTGATCTTCGAGAAAAATATCTTTAAGTGACAAGACGCCACTTCTGATCAATTTCTGGACTTCAACTTTTAATGGATAATATTGTTCAATACTACGTCCACGGGCTCCCTGATGAAAACCACAAGTCAAATCAGCTTTGTAGTACCAAAGGTATCTTCTCAGGAATCTTCGGTGGAAGTTGGGTCTGAACCAAATTCCTCTGCATTAGGATAGGAAACAACTCAGTATAAGTCATTGGAATTGGATCAAACTGATCTTTCTTCTGATCAAGAACTTGCTGATTCTGTTGAAAAACTGAAGCGGAAAGAGGTAAATTGAACACATGGATGACAGAAGGGATGTGCTGATTCTGACGTTGATTGTTTCTACTTCTAGTTCTCTTATTGGAAAAGTTATTATCAAACTTCTTCACACCACTAGTTGTGCCACTGTCTTCAGATGAACATTCCTTTCGGACATCCTCTTCTAGAAGCACTCCCATATTCGCCTTTTCTGGGAACTCAACGGGTGCACTGACTATCACCTTCTCATGAAAGAATGATTCTAGAGTTTTTGTGAAGACTTTTTCCATCTCTTCTTCCTTCCTAGAAGGATTGACTTGGGCGGCAACCAAAGTTTTAACCAAATCAGTTAGATATTCCATATCAGCCTTCAAAGTAGTTACTTCTTTGCGGAGTTCAAAGATCTCTTGCTTAATGCTTTCCATCTTTCCTTAGCACGAGTGTTTTACTGATAAGGCAATTTGCTTCAAACGACCAAAGGACCTTGGGTAATACTTCTGTGGAACTCATGAAATGCATAGTCAAACGTAACATGATGCATGACATGCAATACAAATGCCATATTCTTATTTCCAAAAGTTCATACACTTTGATTCCAGTTATTAAGTCACAATGTCATTATATATTATTTTTTCATGTATTTATTATATATTATTTTTTTGTTTATTTTTCGTCTTAACAATTGGAATCAAGGAAGTAATGTTTGGAACAAAAAAGGAACATGTATGCTGATAATTATATTAACATGCTATGTATGCAAACATATGGGATCAAAGCTTCTGCGATACTGGATAACCGCTGAACTAATAACAAAACCACTGTTATGTGTAATAAGACCAAAGGTCCGGACCAATTCGGAATACCAAGGATCAAAGTCATAAGTATAATCAGAGTCACCAACGGAACATGTATAGTCACCATCTGTACCTGTATAGATCATCCCTCCCCACTCACGGGTAAAGACTAGGTCATGGTAAGGTCAAAGGTAACTCAGAATCGAGGGTACTCCTGAAAAACTATCTCCATATCACCTACTGAAAATGATAGCCCCTCATTTGTACCTCATATGAGCGTGGATGACATGGCGGCATAGTGAAACCTAAGTAAAATAGTCGTTCATGTTCCACTTTATTCCTATTGTTCCTATTGCTTCCACTTGGCCTGGGTATTAGGCCTTTTACCTCATAGTAACATCCCACCCATCAAGAAACAGAGAAACCAGCACAACAACAATATAATAAATAACGATAAAGATGCAATGCAAACATATGCTCAAACATATACAAATGAATAATCCATAAAAGCATAATGATAAACAACCTAAGAAAAGAAAAGCGGGAGCTAGGAGTGACTCACGGGATGGACCAGCAATTGGTCGACATAGAAATCCCCAGTGAAGTTGCAATTTTTCTGTAGCAGTAAAATCAATGAAGTTGCCACAGAGTATTTATTTATCCCATATGAAAGGGAAAGGAAAATCATCGAAGAAAAACCTAAATGGGGGAAATCAAGGTCTTGCAACCGAGAGATTGGGTAAGGGAGTCAATTACGTGAGGGGAAGGTATTAGCGCCCCACACGTCCATAGTACTCTACGGGATCCACTCTCGTTATTCTAATCAAATGGTGTGTTCAATCTAATGCTTAAAGGTTATAAACTAAGAGAGAATGCACGCAAAGAAAATAGAAATAATGTAGGGAAAATAAAGTTGTACTCGCTTGGGCCACACCCTAATGCCTACGTATCCTTTTTGAGGAATCAGAGCTAACGTAGTTCGGCTCATATGTTTTGTTTGTTTGTATTTTTTAAATGAACAATGTTGCATTCGATCATTCCACCGCTGCTCGACCTTTGGAGACTTATGACCTGTAGTTGAAAGGAGCTAATACGCTCTTAGAAGAGAAAAGCCGAATGGCGAAAAGAAATGGATTGATTGGTATTTTTATCATGAAAATAATTTTTTTATATACTTAGAATTTTTATCTGTTTGCCAAGAAAAAAATGAGTTTTAGTTTTAAATGCAATGATGCAAAAAGACGGGAAGAAAACATCTAAGGGAGACTAACCTATCTCTAACCTAATGTTATCATACAATGAGGGATCCATAGGGAACATGCACTGAGAGCGAAGTCGTGATCTCAATTTCTAAATTGAGTGACTCATCGATCAACAAGAAATAAAGGAAAGCGATAAAATCGTATAGAGAGCATGCACTGGGAGCGAAGTCGTGATCTCAATTTCTAAATTGAGTGACTCATCGATCAACAAGAAAGGAAGCAAACACAAGCACAACACATAACAGAAATGAAGTGCGGAATGCCTACTACAGGTCTTTAAACAGCGACTTCGAGCACACGCTCTTTGTTTCCTACTTCTCATGATATCTAGAAAGCAATAAAGTGCGAAATGAGATAAACAAGAGAAAATACCAAACAAATATCAATCCGTAGAGAAAAGAAATCCGACGATCTTAGCGAAAGCTTCACCTATCAAAGAAAAGAGTCAGAAATCGAATGCTTGGAACAAGCGTCTAAACATCATCAATGTGGAAATAAATCTCAATCGAAATCTCAAACGCATCCACACATAGCATAATAAACCTGCGTAAGACTCAAATCTCAACAAGCAAAGGTGAATTACCAATCTCAAATATAATCAGATAATAGGGATTTAATTCCCTAAAACTTAAATAATAATAAAAAATCCACAAATTTTTATTGACTGTATTGTAAAAAAAAGTTCAAGAAAATCTAAACAATTCACCAAATTATTAAAAAAAAAGAAATATTGAAAGAGTAAACCCAAAGGTATTATACTGAAGTAAGGGGTAGTGTTCAGCAAATTCCAAAAGCCCGATCAGATTGAGTCCAACACCTCTTTTTTGTTTCAATTGCTTCAGGCTTCACAAAAATAAATCATGACGGGATTAAGGGGATGCAATTATAGTCCATATGTTTCTTTTTGTCACAGAGCTTCCTGTATAAAAAAAATATAACAGGCCAAGGGATTATGCCACTGTTATCAAGCACGCACCAATTCAACACACCACCACCACCATTATTGCTCACTTTTTATTCAATTTATAACATGAAAAAAAAGAAGAAAAAAAAAGAAATTATATTGAAAGAAGAATGGAACGGTTCCATTTGGGAGTTAGATTTCAAAATTGTGATGGTTAGAATTCAACAAACATAGATCTCTCTTCACAAACAGACGACACGACCACATCTTCCTACACCGTTCGCCTCCACGTACACCACCTCATATCTCTCCGTCAATTCGAAATCAGCATCGTAAACAACCTCTTCGTCATCTCAATTTCGTAACTCAAACTCCGTATATCAATTCAAATCAAAGCTTTCAGAAAACATTGGAGAAGCGAGGTTACCCATGAAATTCCAATGACGGTTTCATTGAGGAGGAGGATCGGAGACTCGACCAAACCAGGATCTTTAAATAAGTGGATCTTCTTCTCAGATTTTCGTCTTTCACTCCAATCTTCTTCTACTCTTACTTGTTCTTCTTCTCGCTTTTCCGATTTGCACTTTTTTGTCGCGTCGATGCCATGTTTTGAGGCTACGATGCTGAGCGTTCTTGTTGATGATGTGTTCTTTGCATTTCAATGAAGAAGCATTGATGTTGATGATTGTTGATGCCAAACGAAGTTGCAGTGCAATGTTAATTAAATTGAATGAAGATGCGTGTCGAAGCCGATGCAGTAGAAGTTACAGATTGAAGCCGTAGAGATGATGAAGCAGTAGAGTTTTTGTTCATAGAAGTTTGAAGATGTAGATCGTAGTGATTTTGAAGTATGATAAAGGAAGCAGAAGAATTTTTTTGAGTTTTGGTGGTGATTCTTCTCAATGATTGAAGAATAAATGATGAAGATTGAACAGGGAAAGTGCAGAAAATGGAATATCCAGTTTTTGAGTTCTTTGGTGAATGTTCAAGAAAAGTGAAGAATGAGGAGAAATCGGTTATATGGCTCTCATGAGTTTGTTACAGGTTCCTCATTCTCAGCCTTCAGATTAAGAGTTTGTTAAGAGATTGGACGGTGATATTTTTGATTTGGTTATTTTGTTATGATTCTATTAGAGCATTCGTGATGAGCTGGCGAATGAGATTAGATTTCCTGTTTTTGAACATTTCGCTCACCCCTTTTTTATTATTCATGCCTCTGTATTTTTATTCATGCTTTTCTTCTAAACTACAACTTGGATTCAGGCTTTAATGAGCTGGCAATTACACATGTGTTTCAATGTATTGCCTGCCTTCCCAATTCAAGGGTTTCCATCTGTTTCTTCTAATTTCGATGCAAGTTTGCAAACCATTGATGCCGGTACCATAGCATATTTTAGGCCTGGCTTTGAAGTTGTAGTAGGAGCTGGTGTCAAGCGAAAGATTGTATGCAACTTTTGTGCAAGACCTGCAAGGTATATGTCAGTTGTAACCGGTTTTGGTTCAGCTTTGGAAGATTATTTTAACCGGTTTATGAACTAGCTTTAATTTCATAATTTTTCTATTGTTAATATGCAGGGCATGGTTGATTTCAAGTTTTATAGAAAGTTTTTGTTTAGCAAAAAGTCTAGTTTTGGATGCAGGGCAACTTTCGAGAATTGGGGTGGAGTAATTTGACTTGGACCAGTTTGCAACAGGGAAGTTGACATGTTTAGGAACCAAGGGACATTTAGAATGTATTTTGTAGTGTGTATATGTATTTGGTGGGCTGATTTGTATGCTATGGATTTTGTAGACAATATGTATGTGTAACAGGAAGATGAATGTAATTTATGAGTTTTCTTTGGTATGTAATTGAATCTTGTAGTAAGAATGGATGAACATGTAATGTGATGACCTTTTGATGGAATTAATTGAAACATGTATTAATTTGATTTTGATGGATGATAACGCTTGGCTTTTGTTTCAACTTGTCTATATTTGAATTATGAACTATATAAATTTGGGTTAAAAGCCAAAGGGAAATCGATCAACATTTGAACTTGAATAATATCCTCAGTGATTCCATAAAAATGAGTTCACAAGAACCACACCAAATCAACCTTGCCTCCTTTCCAAAATTCCTAAATTCCATCTCAGATCCTCCCTTTGTAATTGAAGCAACAAACAATAACAATGCCTTGATCATATTACATGTCCACAACATCATCTTTATACCATGATTTAAACCTTGTAATTCATTCCGCCAAGGCACCTCAGTAGACAACCAATGACCTTGAAGCAAATGTCATGGAGAAAAACTTGTAGATAGGAACAATCAGAAGCGTATGAATGATGATAATCATAAAACCATGAGATCCCTTGAGATGCACTTTGATGGCTTAAAAGCCCATGATAAAGGTGTCCTTGTAGCTTGATAAGAAAGAAGTCCACACTATCCATGAACATAAAACCCTAATTCCACAATTTCACTGCCTTGAAGAATAACCAGAAGAATCAAGCTTTGTTGAACATATACACCTCAATCAATTGACAAAACCCTAATCCCGTGCCAAGAAAAATGAGAGCGCCAATTGAATCAATTTTGAGCAATACGATAACCTCCATTCAGAGAGAGAAACCCTAACGCCAAAGCTCTTCGATCTTATAACCACGAGACCAATGCTATGTGTAAAACGTGAAAAGTATGATGAGGGATATTAGGGGCACAAGTTGGGGTATAACATGAGGTAACCAAAATGAGTAGATAACCATGCCTTTTGTTGAATTGAGAATTTTCGGGAACCTTTGAGACTAACTCCTTAAGCTGGGAAGGTACCCTTACAAAGTTGATCAAGATAGTGTTTTTGCGAGCGGAGGCCATAACCTATAACAAAGAACAAAGATAAATCCCTAGATCCTTGAAATGGTTAGTAAAAATGTTATGTTATGATGATATGATGTTATGATGTCATGTTCATGTTAGATAAGTACTAAACACACACAAGTCACACAAGAGCCTTAGGTTTATAGGCTTGTATGAAGTACATAGGTAAGTACCTTTCCCCAGTGAAGTTAAGTTGGCTCAACCTGTCCTAAAATAGTAACTGGGTTCTAGGAATCTCATATCCCCGATCTTTCTCGCAGGCTTAATTTTAGCACGGCAACTGGCTTGCCACCAAAACATCCAGAAAGTAAAATCTTAATGAGCGTAGTTTCAAGTATCAACCAACCTTGGACTGCACAAAAGTCAGCTATCTCACTAACTTCTAATAGCCAAGATGGGTTAACTAAGGTTCTAAAAGTAAGTTAGTGTTAACGACACCACGCGGAAGCCTAATCTTATCCTCGAATGACTCAAGGAACATTAGTACAAACCAAAGTGTCACACTAACTGTAGCCGTCATGTTAACCATATCGGTCTACACCATACAACCTTTATGATCTATTGCTACTTACCTAAGGCATTCCTAGATCTGGGTGTAGGATCTTACAAGCAATTAAACTGAAACAACCCCTCTTTTTTAAGTAGTAATATCCAGTAGAGTCGCCAGTTCTGTAATACGGTGGGAGAACTGACTTTTTAGGTTTTATCCAAAATGTGCGGATAGCAAGAGTCGCCATCGACTTTTCTTTTATCCAATAAGGAGCGGGTGAAAAGAACAGGAAAGACCTTGATAGATTTTGAGTTCGGGGGGGGGGGGGGGGGATAAGATATGAAAAGGGAAGGTGTTAGCAGCCTTTTCACCCATAATTATCTACAGAATCTTAATTACTTAGCTCACTTTTGAAAACCTTGCTTTGTGTGTATGATTTGGTTGAAAATATTTTGAAAATGCCAATGTAAGGCTAAATTTGTAATGATTCTTACCCACTAAAGTTTTTCTTATTCTTTTCCTTCTCATTTAGAGATAGTGTTATCCATATCATTAGTTGGTAGGTAGCCCTATGTTGTACCCCAAAACTTTCCCTCCCTTTTTCTTCTCAAGACACTCTTTCAAGGCTTCTCAGAAACTTAAGGCACTCAAGGGTTGACCAGTTAACTCACCTCCTAAGCAAGAAGTCCACAACTAGGGTTTTCAGTTCCTCAAATAAATTTGGTTTGAAAAGGTCTGAAGTGGCTTCCATGGTTCTCCATAGGTCCTCAACAAGGTCCATGTCAAGTTTCAAGCCCTACATCACAAGTTTGCTCAGTCAATGGCTTAAATGATTGAAAATCAACTATATTAATCAAAAAGTCAACTATGGTCAACATAAAATCAAAATTCAAGGTTTTTGGTCAAAATAAACATTTTGAATTGATATTCATGATTTGATCAAAGGTTGATCATGATTCCCCAAGGAAAGCTCTCAAATCATCAAAAGTCAAGAATTGCCAAATTAGGGTTTCCTTAGAAGAAGTCAACTGAACTTTGACCAGGCATAAATTTCACATACCTTATCATCTTTTCCCCAACCAAAGCTCATTTTTAAGAAAATTAAATTCTCTACAGCTATGCTTTTATTCTCAAGTCCAGAAAATGCTTCATTTAAAAGATATGACCTAAAACATTATAGGTCATTTTCAAAAGTCAACAAAAGACACTTTTTGTCAAGGCAACATACATCAAGATAAAGTATTCAAAAGCAAAAATGATCAACGTAGAGATTGTAGATGACATCTTGAGCTTTCCAAAAAGTCAATGATCATCTTTAAAAGATGAAAATTGAGCAAGTTATGAGTTGCACAAGTTGGGAGATTTTGAAGAAATTCATGAAATGCAAAAGGTACAAATTTGAAAATTTGGACTTGTGACCTAAATTTTTGGACTTCATGAAATATTTGAATTTTTTTATTCATTTAAATGTAAGTTAAATCAAATTAAATACAAAATAATGGGATAATTGTGCAAGACCTCATTTGGATCAGTCCAGAGGCCCAAGATGACATACCAACTATCGAAATCGTGTAGCATCTAAAATGGAAAGAATATCATAAGTTTGGAAAATTTTCAAATTTTGATTCTTGTTTTAAAACTATGGTTAATGGCTGGATACCATTCCATCTTTCCTAGCCATCTCTTCCTCTATAAATACTGATCCAAAGCAAGCCAAAAGGGACAGATCCACAGGCATAGAGAGCAAGCAAAACTATTCAAAATTTTCAAGAAACCCTCAATTCTCAAATTCTGTCCATAGGTCCCTTTCACTCCCTAATTCTAATCATTTTCTCTTCCTGGATGTTGAAGGGTGAGTTTAGACCAGTCACTATGGTCCAAAACACGTGAGAAAGGCATAACATACACTTCCGATTTCATAACATTTTGTGATTCATGTTCTTTTGTTTTACTTTGTTTTGAGCTTAATGATGATTATTAACATGTCTTTAGGTACTTGATGAACAAGTTTTAACCATTGATACGCTTCCATGCATGCAAATTCGATATATGCCATTTTTAACTCCGATCAGACGTTTTGATTTAAAGCGTACGATTCAGGGCGTTTTAGCTCAAAATAAGCCTTGATTTGGACTCAGGGGGATTTTTTAAGGGGGGTAGGGTTATTTTGAATCCTTTTGAATCCTTGATCCTTGATTTTTTTACAGGTTTAGGTTTTGAGCCAACTGAAAGGTTGACTTTGGTGGCTGACTCTGGCGGCCTAGGTGTCACATTATTAATAGTCTATTCAAATTTCAGCATGCGCGTGTGTTTTGAAATCCAAACGAGCCAGTTTCATAATATGTATATTCGTTTGTATATGAAGTAACAAATGAGCAGCTGGCCCAGTGGTAGCATACATACTCGTAAGGCATACCTCCCCCATGTTCTGGGTTCGATCCAAGCGTGAGGGAGTTTTATTTTTCTTACATTTTCATGACAGATTCAGTACAAGCAAAGCCCAGCATGCATATGGTGCAACTCTAGTTGTCCCCGATCAGACTTCATCAAGCTAGACCCGAAGGCCTCAGACGCGCGTTCCACCATGAGCTTCCCAGGACTAGCCACACATGATCCAATACAAGTTCCTGGGTTCAGTTATTTTGGGCCTAACGTTTTACTGTTTTTCACCCCCCTCCCATTTTCTTTTTGCAACATGGCCTATTATTCTTTTTTTAATTATTTTATTTGTTTTTGATTAACATTTTTAATCTTTTTTTACCAAAAAAAAAAATCAGAAAATCATAAAATCATAAAAAATATTATATTTAAGTTTTTTTAATTAAATTAATTTTAATTAAATTAATTTAATACCTCTAAGTGTATTTTATTTATTAAAATTTGATTAGAATTAGGTTTACAATTAAATTTTATTTCCAAACAAAAACAACAAAAATGTCTTTTTACCACTTAGAATTTTTTAGGCTTTTAGATTTTACCTCTTTTCCATTCTCCGCGCATTGTTTATATTTTCACATTATTATTTTTTCATAATTTATGTAATTGTCCATAGTTTGTAATCGTTAAATAGGACCTTTATATTTTCCCCCCATTTTGGTTTGCATTCCCCCCATCCCGAAGCGATGTAAGTGCGTAGTTTAAATTCTCGCACTTTTATTTTCTGCCCTATGTATGTATTTAACTGCTAGATGTATACTAATAGGATTGCATGACCAGATTTAAAAGCAAACGGTAGAAAACATAATATTCAAGATAAACATAACTGAAACATAACACACTTCACACACGCGTACCTCTAAGGTACCTCCACATGTTG